GGTAGACTCTTCCATGAAGTAGGAACCCTGTAAGACTGAGTTCAGCAGTCACTTTTCTGTGGGTCCTGCATGTTCAGTTTATACAACAACAGTCAAGCAGTACAGGCAAGAGCAGTTTCTTGCCTAAATGGCTAATCTTGCCATATTGAAAGCAAACTCCATAACAAGTTTCTTCGATGCCCATCTTCCTCTCAGACGTAATTGGTGCTGCCAGGAACAGACATTTCTCATTGTCAAGAAAAACCCTAAACCATTTTAAATGCCATTTTCTGAAGGTCTTTGAAAGGTTTGAAGACTATCTATCTGTCTCAAATATTATCTCTATATATCTAGAAAACCTAACTTACCTAACTATAAGTTCTATTATCAATAATTATCTATAATCTGTATTCAATTATGCATTACGTTTTAAAAGATCAGTATAAGCACAATACTTAATCAAGAGGAGAAATATACACATCACAAAATTGACCTTGAATTTGTCTCAATAAATGAAAAACAATACCCATACCATAATTCTGCTTTTTACCATTAAAAAAGAGATCGGCTGTTATCATTAGCCAATTATAAACAACCCCATTTAAATGAAGACAAAGATTTATAAACAAGATGGAAATTAGGACGTCGCTCATTCCAAACTGCTTCATGCTGGAAGGGGGCGCTGTTTATACCATGGGGATCATGACAAAACTCAGAAACCTGTATAAGTCCATATTTTCGGGGTCTGTAAGACTGCATCATCTTAGCTGTTTCAATTGTTGGAACATCTGATCCACTGCTTCCGGGGGTCTTGGTTCATCAAACCACAGAAGCCTGGAAGGAATCCTCAGCTATTCGTTTTCTGTGGAAACATAAGTAAAATCTCCTTTCCCAAGTAACATATACTTATACTTAAATTTTGAAGTCAAGGCATTTTTAAAAGATAGAAGTTGGATTAATTTAGCAGCATTTATAATCAAGTGTACTTTAGTAGCAGTTCCTTCCTGAGCAAGCAAAAAACTGAAAAACATAATAGCGTACAGTATCCAGACTCTCTGTGTATTTTCCATCTTTACGTGGCTTATTTATTTATCTATTATTACTTTATTTATTTTACTTTTATTTTTCTCTGAGACAGGGTTTCTCTTTGGAAATCTGCCTGCCTCTGCCTCTGGAGGAAATCCTACCGGCGTGTGCCAACACAACGTCGGCTTTTCTATTTATTTACCACTTTGCCGTTTCATTTTCTCTCTCAATCTCACGTATATTTTTAAACACACTGTAAACCTTTAGAGGTTTTTCTTTATCCAAGTCTGACTTTACTGTAAATCTTTATGTTTTTCTGGCCACGTGTATTATCTGTTAAAACCGCGGCAGTTTAAACTGCCTTTTTTTCAAGATGGCGGGTGTAAGAGTGATTCCAGCTTACCGCCTCAGTCCATGCTAACATCCAGCAAAAGCTGCCACTTCCAGCTGTAGGTACACACCTTTCAATCGTTAGCAGAGTCTCTTAAAACAACCTTGGTGGTTTTTTTTCTTTTAATGCCGAGTCAGGAAGACTTACTTAAGCCAGCCGCGAGTCTCTGCTTGCTGCTAACAAAACAGAGCCCTCCTGAGAAAATGCTGCTACCAAAAATCTGTGCATCTCTCCGTTCTTCTGTTTCTAAAATTCCTTTAAAGCTTTTGTCATTCTACGTGGAAATTCAATCCCCCATCATTGTTCCAAGTGAAATTTTATTTTTCCTTTATAATACTGATATTTTAGTCAGTATTAATGTTTTCTGTGCATATCATCCAAGCTCATCACATAAAACACCAATGGCTATCAATTCAAACAGCAGTTGTTGGCAGGGTAGGTCAGATGTAGTTCCTTGTGTGTAATCATGTGTGCCTAAACTTTACCGTGAGCAGGACAGTTTCATTGTGATTTAAATAACTAACTAAATAAGCCAATAATGTAATATATGAATAAATGCTTAATTGGCTTAGTTTGGGAAGGATGATATGCAGATGAAGTTTTCTGAGAAGGTGGCTTGAAGAAGAATAAACTAATAACATGGAAAGAAGAGACAAAGAGAATATTAAGGAACAATATGAAATTTCTGCTTGAAAACATCCTGTCCTGATCTGGTTACTAGGGGGAGTCTAGGAGGCCTAGTGAGAGAATTCCTGAGGTAAAGTGTGGTGATTAGGACACAGGTCCTGTGAGATAGTGTGGAGAAAATAAGTAAGTTTGGGGAAATGCAATTCCATCCTTTGTGTTTAATTTTGCTTTAATTGGCCTTTCACAAAATGAATTTATCACAGAATTATTTTCTCCATAAATTAAGAAGCCCCTTGGGAGTATTCTGGTCTAAGAATGATAGGAAATAAAGACCTAGTAATTAATGAGACTCCTCAGTAACCATTGCTTCTTTGGGACAAAAATGATTAGATTTAGGTCATACATACTGTTTGGTCCTCTTTAATATTTTATAAAGAGTCATTGAATTAAAAGGGACTTGCTTTTAATATTGTTGTATGTCTGCAGTACAAGGCCCTTGTAACGTTCAGTCATGAAAGTAGATCATCTTCATGGAGAATCCATAAGCCTTCCATGTTTTTAGACTCGTGGCATTTAGGTTATAGTGTTTCAGGTCTTAAGTGACTTTTCTCTTATTCTATAAACATTTGTAATAGCTTAAACTTAGATTTCAGCCAGATAAAGGCTTCTAATTATGTTTACTTCTGAATCACACTATTGAGTAGCCTTGCCTGATGAATCATTGGGAAGGATTCCTAAAGAATTTGGAAGTTGTTTTTAAAATATGTGGGGACTTTCAAAGGTTACTAGCCTCTTATTTGCATAAGTAAAGTTCCTAAACTAGGAGCCCTATGAGGAAGATTATTATTAAAGAAGGTAAGCAGCTCCCTCAGGTCTCCCAAGTTGACCTCTGGTTTCCGTGTACACACAAGTGTATAAACATATACACATACACATATCAAACAGCCAGATAAGGAATTGCTTAACAACTCTATGGGTCATACTATAATCATCTTCCCTTCTACTTTTTTGGAGTGTAACTTTTCTGGAAAACTTTTGTTATGTATGCTGCTGGTACAGTTTGTGTGCTTGTGCATCTTTCTAGAACAATCCCAGATAGAAGATGAGCTATTAGAGACTTTTTAACATGTGGGATGATTTTATAGTTTTTGTAGGAAGTTTTAGGTGGTTTGGTTTTTTAGGAATAGGATTCAATTCCACAGTTGTAATTTGTAGATAGATTTCTCAGACCACCATCAATGATAATGTAATAGTTTTGGTTGGTCCTCGATGATTTAAGTTTGGTGTCTAATGAGGAAATATTAAGCTACACAAAATAGGGATGTCCTGTGGTATTTTATTTAGGAAGAAATCACCTACGTGAGAAGACAAGAAAGCCGAGAACCAAAGGTCCGCATGCTGCTCTCCGGGCCACAACTGGAACCCAAAGAGAAAATCTTCTCCTTCCCCTAGCTCTTTTATGCCCTACAGTTCTATAATACCTGTGACCACACCCAAATGGGCATGGTCAGAGCTGCGGGTACATAGATCTCTCCCTACTGGTGCCAGGGTCTTAGCTTTTTAACTGAAGTCAAATGGATTACCTGTAAAATTGTATGTTTTGAAGCCTTCCTTCCAAACACCCGATGAAAGCAATCTGTGTTTCTAAGTGACCTCATCAGCTCCTTTCCGTTTCCGACGGTCACCCTGCATGTTTTTCTGATAACATCACCAGATGCTTATACTGAGATTACGAATTTTTGAATTGTAATTAATCCTTTTAAATATATTTCAAGAAATGGAATTAACAAAAGAAAGATTCTTTAAATCCTTGAACATATAGTCAAAAGTACCATCTGGTGATCCATTTCTAAAACACAAGCAACAAGGTGAAATGAAAGGTGTCTATGGCAGACACCCTCTCTACTAAATCTATCCTGTTTTCTATTGTAGTTAAATGGAAGTGTGATTTCACTAGTAGTTTAGTCATGAGGAAAAACATCAATCTTGGTTTAAGTTGTAGTTGCATGCATAAAATATTAACCACAATTTTTCAGACAAGAGTGAATTTTAAACATAAAATTTGTACCCATTTGTCACATTGATTTCTTTCTTTTTAATGATATAAAAATAACACACAGAACAGTTTGAGGAGTTCCATTTTTTCTTTAGATTTTTCATATCTTAAATATCATATTCATAAAGAAAACTGTCTGAATACCAGGGAAAATTCCTGATTTTCTTGATATCCAGAGTCCTCAAATGCACAAGTATTATTATTTTATTACAAGTCTACATTTTGTGGCTCCTCATTAATTTTTTTCCCTCTCTCCCTTACCTCTTTCTAATTTTACCCTCAAAACTGTTCTTTTAATTGAGACTACATGGTGGACATTTATTCTTATATTGTGCAGAATATATTATCTCAAACCAAAAGTATCTTTTTCATAACTACAGTTCAATATTAATCGACGAATTTAAGAAACATGCGATAAGAGAATTGGAGTATAGATATTGTTAGCATGATGTTCTTTATAGTAAAGTAAAATATTGCACAAATAATGGCTTCAGTTATTATGTCTTCTGGATGCTTCTACACTGTAACATTTCTGGGACTTGGTTTTCTGGCACAAATATTTTTGAAAGGTACTGACAATCTATTTTGCAGAATGTCCCTTTATTTGAATTTGTCTGATGTTTCCTCATAATTGGAGTCAAATTATGTTAGACTTAAAAAATTACAGTTGTATAAGATGCCAATTTTATTACAGAACAATTCCTGTTTATAACTCTGAGTTAAGCTAATTATTTGCCATAATTGCTTCAAAGATGAAAGAAATGATTCTCCTAGGAGATTTTTATATATGTTTCTTAATGAACAAGCTTGTCTAAATTATGAAACTCTTGTCAATCTATGGTATATAAGATCAAATAGATTTCTCTAACACTTTCAATTAAGTCAGTAAAATGTGCAACAATGTCCCCCTTTTCTTCACAGTAAGCCCTGCATGCCCACAGAAGCGATGGTGCTCCTCTCTCTCTTTAGATGAACTCAAATCCTTATCACAGCTAATACAATCCTTTCTGAAGCTGGAAAGCAACATCCAGGAACTGCTTGAAGAAACGTTTTTATTGCTTCAGATGCCCAGGAATTCTCCAGGTACTGTGCCCTTCAGTTAATCATGCATAGACAATTTTTCTCTGATTGCACCCTGCCACTTGTAATCTGTACCATTATTTGAAGTAAAAGGGGAAGTTGTTTAGATTAATATTCAGCATGACACAGTGTGGGCTCTTTATTTGTTTGTTTGTTTATTTATTTGCTTGTACTTTGAGAGTCCTTAATTCTAATGGACAAAAACTTCCTAAATTTGTTTTGGATAATTGCCCTTGGCTAAAACTGTTTCTCCCCCAGCCCCCAGAACCCACAGGCTGGTCTGTTAGAAGACTAAACAGGGTGGGTGCTGGAGCAGCCAGATAACCTCCTCCACCAGTGTTTCTAGTCTCCTTAGTCCAGCTCCCTCTCACCCTTCCAGTCTTGGAGAAATACACCACTGGTTCCTTCTTTGTAGGGCCAGATAGTATAGATTCTGATATCTAAAAGGGTGTTGTGAAAATTAAATGACCTAGTATAAGATATTTAAAAGATATAATCATCATTCAACAAATGTGAGTTATTAGAAATATTCCTAATTTTGTAATGTGTTATTCTAAGGTAATTGAAATCTCTGAAGAACATTTTATCATGTAGGTGAAATAATGTTTCTGACAATAGGCGAATAGCAGTCAAAGGCAATGGCCAAGTTACCCTCATTGTTGTCTTATGTAAAGGGCTTTTAAGGGCTTTCGAATTATTCACAATGATGTACAAAGTTCTTTTTCACTAGCTACAATGTGGCATGCTGAGAAATTGGCTATATCTTCAAAACAAATTTAGGGAAATGAGGATTAACTATCTAAAACCCTGTATCTAAGAAAAAAAATCTCCAGCCTCTCTATATATGTAGTTTTGTAGTTCTTTATTTACTTTGACTTGTGTATTAGAAAAGATAGTGACTGGGTTAAATTTTGTTTTATGTTTAGCGTAGTTAAATGGCTTTCTATCTTTCAAATTAACTTTAGGTAGCATTGTTATAAAGTAAGTGATATAGGTCATTGTATGTATTCATTTTCTATTACTGTACCAAACTTTATGAACCTGGGTGATTTAGAAAGGAATGGTGTTTATTTACTTCATAGTTTTGGAAAAAGTCCAAAAGATATGCTGACTCAGATGAGGATGTCCCCAAGGGTGGTGCTACCAGTACCCACATACTGCATTCTCCCTCTTCAATGTCTTCCATTCTTTTTTCCCCCTTTTTAAATTTAAACTAGAAACAAGCTTGTTTTTCATGCCAATCCCAGTTCCCTCTCCTTTCCCTCCTTCCCTGCCCCCACAGGCCATCTAGCCCATCATCCCCTTTCTGCTCCCCAGGAAGGGTGAGGCCTTCCATGGGGAATGTTCAAAGGTGGTCATATCATTTGGAGCAGGGACTAGAACCTCCCCACTGTGTCTAGGCTGAGAGAGTATCGCTGTATGTGTAATGGGCTCCCAAAGTCCATTCCTGTACTAGGAATACTGATCCACTACCAGAGGTCCCATAGATTGCCTAGGCCTCCTAACTGACACCCACATTCATGAGGTCTGGATCAGTCCTATGCTGGTTTCCCAGCTATCAGTGTGGGATCCATGAGCTCCCCCTTGTTCAGATCAGCTGTTTCTGTGGTTTCTCCAGCCTGGTCTTGACCCCTTTGCTCAACACTCCTTCCTCTCTGCAACTGGATTCCAGGAGTTCAGTTCAGTGTTTAGCTATGTGTATCTGCTTCTGCTTCCATCAGCTACTGGATGAAGGCTCTAGGATGGCTTATAAGGTAGTCATCAATCTCATTGTCGAGGAAGGACATTTAAGGTAGCCTCTCCACTTTTGCTTAGACTGTTAGTTGGGGTCACCCTTGAGGATCAATGGACATTTCCCTAGTGTTAGATTTCTCTTTAAGCCTATAATGGCTCCCTCTAGTATGGTATCTCTTTTCTTGCTCTCCTCTATTCTTCCCCTTACTCAATCTTCCTGCCCCCTCATGTTCTCCTCTCCCCTCCTCTTCTCCCCCTCTTTCTCCTAAAGATGAGGAGATCTTGTTTCTTTCCCCTTCTCTGGGGGGCCATGTATGTATCTCTTAGGGTCTTCCTTGTTTCCTAACTTCTATGGCAGTGTGGATTGTAGGCTGGTAATCCTTTGTTCTTTGTCTAAAATCCATATATGAATAAATACATACCATGTTTCTCTTTTTGTGACTAGGTTACCTCACTCAGAATGGTTTCTTCTAGTTCCATCCATTTGCCTGTGAATTTCAAGATTCCATTGTTTTTTCTGCTCAGTAGTACTCCATTGTGTTAATGTACCACATTTTCTTTATCTGTTCTTCAGTCGAGAGGCATCTAGGTTGCTTCCAGGTTCTGGCCATTACAAATAATGCTGCTATGAACATAATGCAACAGACATGAATGGGCGTCTTTGGGGTATATGCCTAAGAGTGGTAATGCTGGGTCGTGTGGTAGACTGATTCCCATTTTCCTGAAGAACCACCATACTGATTTCCAAAGTGGCTGTACAAGTTTGCACTCCCACCAGCAGTGGAGGAGTGTTCCCTTTCTCCATATCCTCTGCAACATAAACTGTCATTGGTGTTTTTGATTTTAGCCACTCTGACAGGAGTAAGATGGTATCTCAGAATTGTTTTGATTTGCATTTCCCTGATGGCTAAGGATGTCGAGTACTTTCTTATGTGTCTTTCAGCCATTTTAGAGTCCTCTATTGATAATTCTCTAGTTCTCTGCCCCAATTTTTAATTGGATTATTTGGTGTTTGGGTGACTATCTTCTTGAGTTCTTTTTATGTTTTGGAAATCAGACCTCTGTGAGATGTGGGGTTGGTGAAGATCTTTTCCCATTCTGCGTCTGCTGCTTTGTCTTGTTGACTGTGTCCTTTGCCTTACAGAAGCTTCTCAGTTTCAGGAAGTCCCATTTATTAATTGTCGATCTCAGTGTCTGTATTATTGGTGTTATGTTCAGGAAGTGGTCTCCTGTACCAATTCATTCAGGGGTACCTCCCACTTTCTCTTCTAAGAGGTTCAATGTGACTGGATTTATGTTGAGGTCTTTCACCCATTTGGACTTCAGTTTTGTGCATGGCAATAGATATGGAACTAACTACAGTCTTCTACATACCAGCATCCAGTTATGCCAGCACCATTTGTTGAAGATGCTTTCTTTTTCCCATTGTATAATTTTAGCTTCCTTGTCAAAAATCAGGTGTTCATATGTGTATGGGTTAATATCAGTATTTTCTATTTGATTCCTTTGGTCTACCTGTCTATTTTTGTGCCAATATCAAGCTGTTTTCAGTACTATAGCTCTATAATAGAGCTTGAAGTCAGGGATGGTGATTCCCCGGGAGGTTCCTTTATTGTACAGGGTTGTTTTGGCTATCCTGGATCTTTTGTTTTTCCATATAAAGTTGAGTATTGTTCTTTCAAGGTCTGTGAATAATTGTACTGGGATTTTGATGGAGATTGCATTGAATCTGTAGATTGCTTTTGGCAAGATTGCCAATTTTACCATGTTGATCATACCAATCCAAGAGCATGGGAGATCTTTCCATTTTTCTGGTACCTTCTTTAATTTCTTTCTTTAAAGACTCAAAATTCTTGTGATACAAGTCTTTCACTTGTTTGCTTAGTATTACCCAAGGTATTTTATGTTGTTTGTAGCTATTGTAAAGGGTGATGTTTCTTTCTCAGCTCTTTTATTGTCTGTATATATTAGGGTTACTGATTTTTTTGAGTCCATCTTGTATCCTGCCACTTCGTTGAAGGTGTTTATCAGCTGTAGGAGTTCCCTGGTAGAGTTTTTTGGACCATACAAGTTGGAAAGGAAGAAGTCAAACTTTCACTATTTGCAGATGATGTGATATTTCACATTAGTGTCCTCCATTCTTTTACTGCCATCTGGGAGGCCAAACTTCTGACATATGAACTCTTGTGGGGCATACTCCAATTACCCTAAACCTATAACCATCCCTTTACTGAATTTCAGCTCATTAAAAACAAAATAAGGGTTGAGTACAGATTTCTGATGTAAGCCAGAAAGTAAGATTGAAAATGCTTTAAGCAAATGATTTAATGTTTTAAGCAAACAACTTAATGTAAGATATGTAGACTTATTTAGGAGATAATGAGAGTGTTAATTGTTTATCTAATTGGAGGTGATTTGAACTCAGAGAATTTTGAGCACTAAGACTTCCAAATTATTGGTGATATGTTAAGGACTCAAAGAGTTGATATTAGCTACTTAGTACAGCCCTTGACAATACATATCAATTATGGGAGAAAACTTTGTTCAACAGACTAATATTGTTAGAGGAATATTGTAAGAACACCAAACTGAAATATGCAAGAATTGAAGAAGGGATGTTAGCTGTTGGTGTTAGAAAAAAAAAAAAGGAAGGCTTATTCCACCTCATTAGATTAGGACTCAGCCTTGCTGAGACTCTGCACACTCTAGAGCAGACATTATGTTTGTTATGTGAAGTCAAAATAAAATCTGTAATCACATCATAATATACAGTTGTTGACAACCCATATTTATAGGTTCCAAATTCAATAATTAGAAGTAATTCCTGAATGACACATATAAGAAATATCTCTACTGATATCTCTTTTTGATATATGCATTCTTTAATTTTTCAAAATGTTTTTGTACTCCAACAATATTTGTAAGAATTCCCTAACACTTAAAATAATATCTGCTGTTAGCATATATTTCATCCAGACTTGCTGAATGAATAAATGAGGTTTATGTATTAAAATTTCTCTGAGTCACTCCAATTTCACCTTATAGTAATGATCTAGAAATATTAAACAATAAACCAAAAAGTTTATGTATATTTGTGTGGGGGGGTGTGTAGGTGTTTGTCTGTCTGTGTGTTTCCACATGTGTGTGCCCATGTGGAAGTAGGAAAACAATTTGCAGTTAATTTGTTCTCTCTTTCCATCATGTGGCTTCCAGGGATTGAACTGAGGTTGACAGGCTTGGCAGCAAGCCCCCCTAGCCTGGAGCCATCC